CGCGGCCAGCAGGCGGCGGCGGCTGCCGACGGCGCGCACGGCGCGGCCGAGAGCAAGCCGCGGACCAGGCAGCAGCTGCCGCAGCCGCTCCGGTACGTGCTGGGCGAGCAGCGTCTCGTCTTCTCCCTGGTCGGCATGGCCCTCGCCACCCTCCTCTTCCTCCTCCTCTCCCCCTCCACCACCACCACCACCCCGTCCACCAGCGTGGCGCACCTGGCGGCGGTGGGGCTGGCGTCGCGGCAGTACCAGTCGGGCGGCGGGGGACGGATGGCGTTCGAGGAGTCCGGCACCGGCGGGCGCCACGGCCGCGTGCCGCTGGGGCTGAAGCGCAAGGGCCTGCGGGTGGTGGTGACCGGCGGGGCCGGGTTCGTGGGCAGCCACCTGGTGGACCGGCTGCTGGCGCGCGGGGACAGCGTGATCGTGGTCGACAACTTCTTCACGGGGCGCAAGGAGAACGTGGCGCACCACGCCGGGAACCCCAACTTCGAGATGATCCGGCACGACGTCGTCGAGCCGATCCTGCTGGAGGTGGACCAGATCTACCACCTCGCCTGCCCGGCCTCCCCCGTGCACTACAAGTTCAACCCCGTCAAGACCATCAAGACCAACGTGGTGGGCACGCTCAACATGCTCGGCCTCGCCAAGCGCGTCGGCGCGCGCTTCCTCCTCACCAGCACCAGCGAGGTCTACGGCGACCCCCTCCAGCACCCCCAGGTCGAGACCTACTGGGGCAACGTCAACCCCATCGGTACGTCACCACATCTATCTTCTCTCCTATCCTATCCTATCTAGAGCCGCCGCCGCCATCGCCGCCGTCCTCGTCTATCTGTGGGAGCACACGGGATGCATGGGAAAAAGACAGAAATGCTGCCGTCGTCTTCTCCTCTTTCTGAACAGAAGTATTTGTGCAGGCGTGCGGAGTTGCTACGACGAGGGCAAGAGGACGGCGGAGACGCTGACCATGGACTACCACCGCGGCGCCAACCTCGAGGTTCGTGCCCGGCCCTGCTTTAATCATTCGCCACTCACTCAGCAACCTCGACTTTGCTGGAAACGAAAGCATCCTCTGCACCTTTTCTTTCCTTTATTAGTAGGCAAAAAATGATAATCATGGCAGCTATTACTAGCATCGGATCATCATGCAATTGTAGAGATTAAACAAAGATAATTAGGGTAATTTAGCAAGGTTAACTGACTGTAACTAATCTTTGTGAGTGCTGGCAGGTGAGGATCGCTCGGATCTTCAACACCTACGGGCCGCGCATGTGCATCGACGATGGCCGGGTCGTCAGCAACTTCGTCGCTCAGGTGAGAAAGAGTAACCTACTGCGACTGCTGTAACTAATTACCCATGCACAAGCATGCACGCTTCCACGTAACTTCCCTTTTTTCCCGCTTTACTTGGCTTAGTCGTAGCTAGGCTTCTCCCACTAGCACTAGTCTAATACTATCATTTTTTTCGATCTAGATCTACGATAGGAATTGATTAGTGGTATGCTACCTCGATCTTGTAATTTGTAAACTTCCATTCCCATCTAGCGCGCCGGTGAACCCGCAGCCCCACATGCATGCAAGTCTACCGAGTCAGTAGTACCATTCTATATTACTCTACTTGTGTTTTCTAGTTGTTCATCATATAGCTTTAGTTTCTTCTAGTTGTTCATTTGTGACATACTACCTCAAAAATACTCTTTTTTCAAAAGGCAGTGCATTAGTTAAGAAATAATAGAGTCATTGCAGTCGCGCGAGGCCAGTTGCGTCACGCGATCGAGGCGGCATTGCACCTAGCAACACACCACCACGGATGCTCCAAAAATAGTCGCCATCGATGATAACGTTTATCGTCGAAGGCATAAAAGCCTCCCGCTTTCCGTTGGGGCCTTGGCGGTATCTTTGTGAGGTCGTGTTCCATGTGTCAGGGGTTTGCGGGTGTAGCATGTTAAGAGCTTATTTCCATCCGCTTATGGAGCCTATGGAAATAATAAGTCACTACGGGCACGCGAGGCCAGATGGACACGCGGGATGGCACTGTACCGAGCAACACACCACCACGCATACTCCAAAAAATAGTCTTCAGTGATACTCCTCTATTTCATAATGTAGCGCATACAAACTTTTGGTCAGGAGTGCCGGTTATCGGGGAAGACATAAACCCTCCCCCTTTGCCTAGACTCGTAGATTTTTGTTTAGGAAATTTCTACCTACATGATTCATCATTTCTTGTTTCGTTTATCCTCTGGCTAGCTAGGCTTTGCTGATGGGGGGACACACACGCAATGAGCGGACCAAGTGTTTGGTTTGTTGATTCGTCCCAGGGTCCAAACCACGTGCTATTGTGCGTGGCAAAAGCAGCGCAGAATTAAATTAAGCTAGATGGAGAAACTTTGACAAGTGGACGCCACGTTCCAAAGCTCATTTTCTTAATTCCAAGTCTCATTTTCTTAATCCCAAGCAGCTGACACGAACCACCCCCCTAGTTAAAACCTGCTTTATTATGAATTTGACACGATTCTTTACACGCCAAAGTTACATGTGTGTGTGTGTGTGGTGGAAGAGATGATAACATTAGCACGAAGATCAGTCGCGCACCCACACCCACACGGCTAGATGAAGAAACCAGCGGTGCTTAGCCAGTGAAAGCGCATAGGCATGGCACGATTTTGTCCTTGATGTTAACAACTGCTAATGGTGACATTGTGTCGATTGATTTTTGGTTGATGTAGGTAGCATCGGTGTACTGTATGTATATGCACGGGGTGTACGTGTGTGATGTAAACAACTGCTAATATATGGTGACACTGGGTTGATTTATGATTGATTGGTGCAGGCGCTGAGGAAGGAGCCCCTGACGGTGTACGGCGACGGCAAGCAGACGAGGAGCTTCCAGTACGTCTCCGATCTGGTAAGCTCTCCCTCTCACCAACGAGCACACATCGCCGGCCACAAGTCAAGATTCACATGTGCACACGCACGCACGTTCCCTTGCTGGTGGCTCCGCCGCATGCTTTTCCCTTCCATTATACAAGCCCCAACAGCAGCACGGCTTTCATTAATCGATCGGTTGGTTCATCGACCGTGCAGCTGAGGCTAAGCTAATTCAGTTGCGGTTGATTCGCATGTGCTCGATCATGGTAGCACAGTTTCCTCTCCATTTTGCTGGGCGTTCGAGGCATGTTTGAGACGCCCGTCTGGGTTAGATTGTCGTGATCGGACGGGCGTTTGAGGCCGGTTTAAGGCGTCAGGATGTAGATGTTCTGATGCTGCCATGCCAATGCTACAACTAGCTACACGTGTTGGCGTCTCCAGTCCAGAGATGCGAATGCGTACGTGGGTGCTGTTACAGTCGTCCGTCCGTCCGTCGTCCGTGCTCCCAACGGCACGCGGCTGTGGCGCTGCTACGTCGGTTAGGTCGGGGTGGCCCAAGTCCCAACCATTTTCCATTTGGCGCTGGTGCCTGCCTTGCCTACTCAAGTACAGAGTCGCCGAGTTGCTAGCATTTTCGGCTTTGGCCTTGGACCACGTACCCTACTGACACGGACCGAGTTGGCTCGATCGATCATCAGCTGGGCCTCGCCGGTAATTGTCCCTGCCGAGGCCGTGGACCTCTTGCATCGCTGTGCCCTGTGCTACTGCTAGTGTGGTCTCTCTCTCCCGTACCGTACGTTGCTGCTTCGACTTCGACGGGAAGCAATGTGTAATTTAGATGAAACTGCACGAACGAAGGGTCGTTAACGGACGGCCGAGGCAGATGGCGCACCGTACGCATCGATCTGGACCACGCACGCACGCAGGTGCAGGTGTTTCCAAACTGGTTGGTGCACTGTTGCTGCCCATGGACACGGCAACATCTCCATCACCCTTTTTGGCTCCCGGGAACAGCATGATCGAGCCCCTTTGTCGTTGAACCACGACGAGTCACCACTGTTCCATCGACCAAGAGTGCCGTGTCATGTCACGTCCATGCCGTCGTCCTTGCCAGATTGGTACCTCAGAGCTCAGTGTCATGGCATCCATGGGTGAATATATTCTGGTTTTACCAAGGAAGTGTTTTGTTACAGTGTCTAATGCATGTGTGATGGTGCAGGTGGAGGGTCTGATGAAGCTGATGGAGGGGGAGCACGTGGGGCCCTTCAACCTGGGGAACCCGGGGGAGTTCACCATGCTGGAGCTGGCCAAGGTGGTGCAGGACACCATCGACCCCAACGCGCGCATCGAGTTCCGGGCAAACACCGCCGACGACCCGCACAAGCGCAAGCCCGACATCACCAAGGCCAAGGAGCTGCTCGGGTGGGAGCCCAAGGTGGCGCTCCGGAACGGCCTCCCGCTCATGGTCCAGGACTTCCGCGCCCGCATCTTCGGCGACCAGAAGCAGCAGCAACCCGACGGCGCCGAGTAGTGATCGCCCGTCGACGCACCGCCGCGCCGCGGGTCGGTGCCATTTCATCATCTTGTTATGTAGGATGGATTTGTTGAGGGGGGAGGAAGAAACATGTGAAAGTAACAGCAGGGATACCGGAAATGAATGAATGAAACCGGGGAATATACACCATCATATCCACTGTGTAGTTTCTTAGCGTCATGTATCATGGGTGAAGTAGTTAGCTTCGTTTGCTCGCATTCTTCTAATTTTACATCATGTTGGGAATTTTCCAAGTTGATCTCTATACTACCTACTGCTACAAAGGAGGGCCAATGTTTCATATAATCAGAGACCCACTTACTGGTTCATGGTTAATTGCATCACCACCCTGTTTAAGATTTGGTTGTGCAAAGTTCAGACGAGCAAAGATAATAGCATTTGCCAGTAAATGCTTCTGCTCGTGTACGTGAAGGCCAGGAAGGAAATGGCACGTGAATTTTGAAACCAATCCAAACATGTGCAGCAGCTATCCACCATGCGTGTTCACCTGCTGGAGGTTTGGTTCAAGATATGGGTGCGCGAAGTTCAGACAAACAAAGATGCAGTAGAACCGGACCACCAGCATCACATTCACACAGTGATAATAATTATTACCAAAGATAACATTCACGCAGCATCGTAATTTACCCGGAACATCGACAACATAAGTTAGTAACACGCATAATGCGCTCCAGGGGAACAGGAATAAGCTACAGAGAATGGTACCAATCTAGTCATATTACCGCCAAAAGAGTACATAAGGGTGCAGGACGATTAGCATCCAAACAATCACAGGCTTGGTATAGCCCTGAGTGAACTACAAGCACTGGTTATCCGGTAGATTACACGCTTACACCTTTCGGATGAGGAGGAACAGCCTTTGATCCAGCTCGAGGTTAGCAGCACTTGAAGGATCGCCTTTGAGCAACATCAGGAGGCCGCCAAAAGATGCATAGATCTCCCTGGAGAGAGGAAAAGGTGGGTAAAATCATTAGAATAGTTGCACGAGTGAATTGGTCAAATCACTTGGTTGAGTTTGAGATATACAGGTGTAAAAGGTGTAGGTTCGGTTTGAGATATAAAAATAGGCATTCTGAGTTGCACTTCTACTGCATGGTGTGAATGTGTGATTCACATAATACAACTAGCCAAGCATGCTTATATATGGCTCAAAAACGAGAAAAGACCGTCAACACACCTATATCCATTTCATAAGAAAAATGAGCTCCTTTTGCAGATATTTAACAATATTTCTAGTAAGTACAAACTATAAGCGAGGAATATCAAATATGTAAAACCAAATCCTTCAATCAGCCCTTCAACAGATGGAACTTTGCTCTTTGTATGAGACTATGAGTTGCACCAAAGATTTCCACATGAGAACAGCCAGATGCCCATGGCATTATTTCATTTGTACTAACATTTCAAGGGAAAACAGCCGAGCTTCATATTGGACCGTGTATATAGCATCAGGCTACTCAGTAACAATCAAATTAAGCAATCCCAAAACCAACCCCTTATCTTGGACCATGTATATACACTAGGTTACAATTACATCAAGGAATTTGAACTGCCCCACCCCACCCACCCATTATCTTTGACCATGTATACATCAGGTTACTCACTAACACTCAAAGGAAGCAATCTCAAACACCACCCCTTATATTGGAGTATATTCACCAGGTTACTCAGTAATACGCGCATCAAGCAATCTCAATACCCCTCCCCCACCCACACAGGATTGTATGGACATGCATTAAGAAGCTAGGATTTTTTTTGAACATATTAAGAAGCTAGGATTAAGGAGCTGAAGGGCAAATAAGAGAATCATTATGTACTCTCAAACTCATGAGCTTCAGCAACATGGTTATAGGGCAAATTCTTCATCAGCTATATGAAGGTAAGAAATCAATCCCACATTAAATCATATATTACTCAAACATATCGCATAAATCAAATCCTGCAAGATTAAAAACCCACACAAAATCACTAATCTAGAGTTCAGAGAAGTCATACACTTTAGTAGGTCCTTTATCCTTGCTGGAATTGTCCTCTGAAATCTTGTAAAGCTTTCCATGCATGACATAGTCATACTTGTCAGCAAGTGTTTTCCTACCAGCCTGAAAGAAGGAAAGAAATAACATGAGCTTCCTGGGTATCAGCCCCTAAACATGCGTCCTCCACGAAGACAAGTCCATGTAAGACAATAACAACATTTTAGGCAACTATCACATCATTCAGCTGCCAAATTATTTCATGATCAAACTTCTAAGAAGAATCAGGTCATGTTACCTGTGTATAGTAGCCAGTGTCTGGGGTCCCGTCCAGATTCAGTGTAGGAGCTAAAACCATGGTGAACTTGTCACCCATATGCATTGGGTAGACATCGGTTGCGATATCTAATTGCATGTACATCTCCAACTGCTCACTTCTAGCCTCAATGCGATTAACTGCACACCGATGTGGAAAGGTAAATGTTTCGGTTCAGTAATCATCTGCAGCTACGAGGTTGCACAAAGTGTCGCTATGATGTTAAGTGTTAACAGTCCAGGATTCCAAACATTGTAGAGCACTGCGAACTGGGTAGGCATAAATAAATTCCAAGGTTTAAATCTCAAAAGGCCTAGCGCTTACTTGCACTTAATCTGCACATAATTGCGCACAAGCATGTGCTTTTGGTCAGAAAAGCGCAAGGCGGTGGCGAAGCGCACAATTAACGCCAAGCGCTTTTTTTGAACCATGATAAATTATGTTGCTAGGTAGTAACTGCTAGCAGCAACTCCAAGAGACGGACAGGCATAATGAGCAGCATGATTCGGCGGAGCAAAGCACCGCGCAGTAGAACAGTAACTGTAAATTCACCATGCATAACAGCCAGGGCGAATTACCTCTGTCGAACTTCTTGCCATCGGGGTCGATCCTGGTCACGTGGAAGATGTCCTCGAAGAGATGCTCGGCCATTTTTCCTGCCCAAGGAGAGCACGAACTTCAGTTATGCAATAATAAACTTGATAAGACTAAGAGAGAGCACAGCAACCCTAGCATCCTGCCGATTGTGGTTCTCAGATAATCCACACAAGTGAATCCTAACCCGCGCTCTCCAAACAGACAAAGAAAAAGCGGCCCCCGAATCCTAAATCAAGAAGCGGCGCAGCCTGGCCCCCCAAGAAGCCGAGAATAAGCACCCACGCCCGCCCACGGATCGGTCGGGCCCGACGGCGGCGAGGAGAGGCGAG